GCCGCTGCCGCTGCTGCCGCTTTGCGCCGGGGGCGTGAGCCCCCGAACAGGGGGCTTTTGACATAATCTCAGAGGTTCAGGAAGTTACCCAGAAAATGTCATTTAAGCCAGAGACCAAATAAAGATGAAAAGTTAGCCAGGCCAAAAAGGGACATTATTCCTCAGCATTATCTTTGGTAAAATAAAATTAAGAAGCTTTCTATAGGTTTCAGTGTCTAAGAAGATACATAAAGTTAACTGTGTTCTTTACTGTAACTTTGAACTATCTATACTATATCTGCAGTTATAGCTCTTTCTTTTTTCTCATGTTGAGTATTTTAGCTGTCTTAAGTTTCTCCTAATTAAAATATCTAATTGTGTTTTTTATTATTTCTCTCCAAAAGACAAAAAATTTTATTTATTTTTTGACCTTTTTTAAAAAAAATTGCTATAGGGAACATGTGCTGTTTTTCTCATCTCAAATTTTTGTTTTCTTTGTCCCCTCCCCCCTCATTCATTTTTGAGGTGTTGAGGTGTTTTGAGTGTTAAGGACTGTGACAGCAGGGACAGTGCATCGGTGAATAGAACACTAGTCGCAGGGAGCCCAGACAAGGGGCTTGGGTGGAATCCTGGCAAAACACAAAGACCTGAAATAGAGTAGTGAAGGAGGGGAGGGATGTAGAGAGATTTGCAAAGACTTTGGGCTAATAGAATTGAAGGAATTGGAAGACTAATCTAATATGGGGTGAAGGAGAATCCCAAACCAAACCAACTCTGGAGATTCTGTGACAAATACAAATAGATAGACTGTGATGTAGGGATACTAGGAGAATGCCCCTCTCACAAATTGTCTGCTAATTGTAATTTTCTTGGGAACTTCCCATTGTGTTTTGACAAGAATACTTTCCCAGCCTTGCTTTGCCCAGGGTATTTTTAGTCAGTGACTCAACAGGGAACGATTTTCCAGAATTTCCATGTTAAAGGAATGGTCCACACCCCACATTTCCTGAGGGCAGCCATGGACAGGGCTTTATGCCAGTCACTTTCTCTTGTAGAGAGTTCACAGGCCGCAAAGCTTTCAGCTGATAGCACCAACAACTGAATTCAAAAACAAGATGTTCATGAAATATCAAGAAGGAATTTTATAGTCAGGTTCTTGGGTTCTTACTTTTTTTTTCCTCTTTCTTTTACGATTTTTAATTTATTTTACTTAATTTCATTTGTTATTTTTATTTATTTTCAAAGAGTTTACCCACAGAGAGACAGAGAGAGAAAGAGAAAGTAAGGAAGCAAGCTACCAGGTTTGGGACTTGAACCACAGTCAGCCAAGTGGGAGTCCAGCACCCTAACCACCCTACCACCTGCCAGCCCCTCTCTTTCACTCTCTTTTAAAAACTTTTAAATATATTTCTTCTCTCTTCTGAGATGAGAGAGAGTTTACTCTCAACAGGGTCTCTATGCCACAATCCACCTCCAGCCTTTCCAGTCAGCCTTAATCACAGGCACCTCTATGCATGCCCAATGTGCTCAGAGAAGTCCTGGAACATAAACCCAAGACCTTCTCACGTAGTTGCAGTTATATTACTGCTGTATCACCACGCAGTTCTCTTGTATCTTTGTTTCTGTTGCTTCTCTTCCTCCTGTCCAAATCCACTCCTCCCTTCTCTCTCCAGGAGGCATATTCACCCAGTCTAGTCTATATTTCTCCTTGCTTAAGTCAGACATCTAGACCTTTTACCATATCTACTTTTCAAGATACTACCAACAGGGACCAGCAGTTGGCGTAAGGGCTATGTCACTGGCCTCCCACGTAGTCGACTGCAGTTTGAGTCCCGGACCAGGTGGCTTAAACTCACAATGGGCAAATATGTGTGCATACCCAAGATCCTGAGAGGAGAATGGAGGAGAAGGGATTGTGGCGTGGCCATCCCCCCTGGGGGGTGATTTCTTGTTTTCTGTCTCTGTCTTTCTGGAGAGCACACATGTCCTATAGCAAAAACCTCTCCAAAAAAAAAAAAAAAAAGGATACTACCAACATTACTTCCTAAGAATACCAGGGTTTATTAATATGAAATAAATATTTCTTCACTAATGAGCCTCAAGTGTATAATGGTAGGTTCAAACTTATGTTCTCTTATATAGCTGTGGAATAAACACAGTAGCCGTGTAAATCAGCAGTAAGCAAACTTTTCTTAAGGGCCTACCTATCTGATATTTAGACCTTGCTGGGCTAGCAGTCTTTGTTGCAACTACTACACTCTGCTCTTTTAGAGTGAGAAGACAAAGACAACTTATAAATGAACAAGTGTGGTTGTGTTCTTCTAAAACTTTCTTTATGGATACTGAAATCCCAATGTCATATAATTTTCACATGTCATGAGATACTCTTCTTCTGAATTTTTTTCCTCAACCACTTCAACATGTAACAATTATTCTCAGCCTTCTGTATAAGTACAGTGAGGCAGATTGGGCTCCTGGCTGTGGTTTGCTGACACCTGCTATAAAACCAGAGAGGCTGAAAAG